ATTACAAATTTGACAAGTCCTGACAAAAAGCCTGACATTTAGATAAAAGTCCGGATATTTTAGTCACAAAATACAAACATCACCCACTTAGTTACAATGATATTATACGCGTGGTAGCAGACGCTCGCATCGCGAGGGGGGTCTCGTTGCTGATTTTTAAAGATGATTTATATTTTGTTTTATATTATTGAGAACTTAATAAATATTATTTGACTTATTTGATATATCTTAATAAGTAGATTTACTCATATTCCACTTAATTAAAAAAATCCAGACAAATTAAAAAACCGGACAAAATCTGGGTAGAAGGCAAAAAGTCCGGACATGTCCGGTCAAATCAATTTTAATTTTATATCAATTTATGTTTGTGGATTTAGACATAGCATATTTTTTATAACGAAAAAATGAAAGGTTCTTGTGGAATTCTCAAAAAACTAAACTTAGCGCTGACGAAGTCGCAGGCGGCCGCTAGTATTGTTGCAATAAAGGATTGACTTGACTTCCATATTACGAGAATTATAATTTGTTTACTTGCCCCAAAAATGTTTATATTAAAAACCAATTTAACAACATCTCGCAACTATTTTGTAAATAAACCAACCCATGCTTTGAGCTTTTATGTAGCTCTTAAACAAACTGCAATAACAGTTAGAAAAATCTTTTACGAACGAATAAATGTATGTAACTATTGATCACAAACATTTCTAATTATGAAGAAATAAAAGTCAATTTCAACGGATATAAAAAAAAATCAGCGAGAAAATCATCTCTTTGCGTTTTCACGTCGCATCGAATGACCACTCCCACGCATTCTGCCCCAGCTCTGACCCAGATCTAATTTGAAACACGGTTGTCGCACGAGTAATGTTACGATGCTACGATTGACGACAAATAAAAACACCGGGAAATCCACACAGTGCTTTTTTAACTAAATATTTAAGGGAAGTAAGGTATAGCCAGCGAATTTTGCCGCTCGAATTGGAGCGCCCATCTGGGGAAGTTAGTGGTGTAGCTGTGGTTAGAGTGTTAGCGTAGTAGTTATACCAACAGTAAGGCACTTACCCCACGTTAAAAAAAAAGGTTTGCCTACAGTGTGTCCATAAAAAATTCATGACGATGATACCTACCATACGAATCAGGTAGGTCATCGCGATACCATTGGCCAATAATATCATTGGTCCATGGCGATACGTACCTTTTGTGGTGAGTCCGAGCCTAACTTTCCCATTTTTCTATTTAACAAAACACTTCTTGAACGGTTATAAACGAGATTTATTGAATTTTACATTATTCTTGACACACATGGTCGCATCGAATGACTTCCTATAAAATTTAATCAACCGCGCATTATACTCTGTTCGAAAAGTATTTATTAAATTAAGATAATAGAATAACAATATAATTAATCTAATGTGATAGATAGCCTGACACTGCCGATGCACTATGGGTGGGAACCCGCCTAAGAAAGCCATCTCATAAATGCTTTTTTAGTAACTGTGATTCGAGGCATCTATTATACATCAAATTATAGCTAAAGAGTTACTTTATTATAATCAATATAATTTAAGTCTCTAACTATAAAAAAAAATACAAAAATAATAATATGATTTCAGTAAGTTTGGGATAATTTTATAGTATCATAACAAAAGAAGTCATATAAGTGTGATACCATTTTAGAAAGCTTAGAATGTCTAATATGCAGTTTTTTTAATATTACTTAATTTAAAAAATCTATATCATAATGTGTACTATTTTCGTTTCTTAAACTTTCAGTTGGAGTTTTGACATTTGCCGAAGCTTGTCGAATTTCTGGTTTTTGTGTTATTTCTTAGATAATATAACATAATTTGACGGCAACAATTTTTTTTTTTGCTATATCAGTGCATAACCTTGTCAAATCTCTTAGAATATCAGCGTGTGAAAACATATATTTTTAAGTACGTTTAATAAGACTTTTCTGATTTCGGGTTTCTCAGCACGGACATTTAAATAATAGTCCAGTCGTAATAAACTTGAGACCTATTCTAAGACACCAGCGCTTAGCCAATTTTTTCCTAGATAGTATAGACGACGAATATGCCCTCCATTTGTCCCCGCTAGAACCCGTGTTTTGTAGCCAGGAAAATTGTTTAAACAAAGAAAAACCGGTTTTTTTGAGTTTTTTTGCTTGTAAACGGGGATTTTGAAAATTTTTTTGAATCAAAGTTGTTCATTAGCTTGCCCTCTACAAAATCAGTTCTATGAAAAAATAACGTGAGATTGTTAGTTTAGCAGTAAATTGCAATTATGTCGGTTTTACGTTTGCAACAATTCAACATGTTATAATAAACATTTTGATTTCTAAAGTAGTTTATCATGTGGGTAACGCCACTCCCAAGAGAGTCATGTAAAATTTATCGACCTGGGTCGCAAACTTTAGCAACAATTCTCAATCTCCGAAAAAAAAAGTACTTGCCTGTCCCGTCTTTCCCAGAAGGCGCACAGCAGGGAAAAAAATTCAGGTGATTCGATTCACCAAGAATTTTGAGGAATTAATCGAGTAGAAAAAAATCGTTGATAAAAATATTCGTTTTTGGACGATTTAATTTTTTTTTAAAAATTGACGTAGAATAATTTTTTTTTAAACTAATGTATTTTTCTCTCCTCAACTCGAATATACGATTGAAAATTTTAAAAAATCAGTTTATTTATGTACAGAAATTATTTACAAAACTATTAACTAAAATTCGATTACAAGACTGCGTTGTATTCTATATTTCTAATTAAATTAATTTCGTCCTTTTTTCTTCCGGTTCATAATCGGAATTCTCAGGGTATATTAGTATTATATATATATTATATATATATATATATATATATATATATATATATTCAGAATAGTATATTCGAGTTGAGGACAGAAAAATACATTAGTTTAAAAAAAAATATTATTGTACGTCAATTTTTTTTAAAAAATTAAATCGTCCAAAAACGAACATTTTTAGTAACGATTTTTTTCTACTCGATCGATTCCTCAAAATTCTTGGTGAATCGAATCACCTGAATTTTTTTTCCCGCTGTGCGCCTTCTGGGAAAGACGGGACAGGCAAGTACTTTTTTTTCGGAGATTGAGAATTGTTGCTAAAGTTTGCGACACAGGTCGATAAATTTTACATGACTCTCTTGGGAGTGGCGTTACCCACATGATAAACTACTTTAGAAATCAAAATGTTTATTATAACATGTTGAATTGTTGCAAACGTAAAACCGACATAATTACAATTTACTGCTAAACTAACAATCTCACGTTATTTTTTTATAGAACTGATTTTGTAGAGGGCAAGCTAATGAACAACTTTGATTCAAAAAAATTTTCAAAATCCCCGTTTACAAGCAAAAAAACTGAAAAAAAAACGGTTTTTCTTTGTTTAAACAATTTTCCTGGCTACAAAACACGGGTTCTAGCGGGGACAAATGGAGGGCATATTCGTGGGGGTCTATACTACCTAGGAAAAAATTGGCTAAGCGCTGGTGTCTTAGAATAGAAGTCGGTCCAAATTATGGCTATTCCTACTGGACTATAAAAGCTCTTGGCCCTTTTGTTTCTTATACATTATTTTATCTTATGCTATACTAATTTCGTGTTTTTCACACAATATTTAGTTCCCATTCCCATAAGAATCATGGAAAACCGCAAAATTATAAAATAGTTTATAAATTTTACGCACGTCTTCCATAATTTTTCGGTATAAAATGGTGCATTTGAGTATGAAATATTACAGTTCTTCATTGGTTTTTTTTGTCGTAAATAATTGTTTTTTAAATATCTCGCCGCAATAAGTCAGTTCTCGTATACCAGACGCGACCTAAGTCTCTTATTGATTGAAAGTGATACAAATTATGGTGTTTCCATCTCTAACTATAAACGAAGCAATTGCACCGAATCTTCAGATGCAAATATTGCTAAAATTATCGCAAGTATTCAGAAGTCTTTCATAACTCAGTTTCGTCAACGCTATACTAAAGCTGGTCGTGAGAAAGAACAGTTCTTAAGCCAAAACAGAAATTGGTTGGATGGGATTTGATACAAGACAACTGTATGTTAATTAATATAAATGGTACTATATGCCATCTTCCGTGCATAAGGTTTTGATTCATTGTGAAAGTGTCATACGTCATTTTTCGGTATTGCCTCTTGGACAACTTTCGGAAGATGCCCAAGAGTCACGGAACTCCAGGCTTCATCATGCAAGAAAATATTTGAGGACAGCCACCAACGAAGATGTTCTACACACACTATTAAATACATCTGATCCGTACATTACAAGCTTGAGAAAACCTTATAATAAAAAATATTTAGAACTTCTTGATGAAGCAAAGTAGCTCTTATGTGAGTTCTGAGCTACATTGGTATTTCTTTTTTAATTTAAAGCAGTCACTTTTTCTAATTACCTTTATAAACTTATTTAAACATAGATGTAAGTCTAAAAATCGTACATTTTTAGTTTTCCTATTTTTTTGTAAGTATTATAAATAAACTTTTATACACAAATTATACATTATTTAAAAGCAAATATATTCAAGATCATCAGAAATAAAATCATGGTCATATCTTTATTAACACAGGAGTTATAGATTTTTGAGATGAAAATGAGTCAAAATTCCCATAGTGCGATGTTACCCTTTAACTTTCTTTATCTCTTGAAATAAAATGACATGAATGAAGTCACAGTGTTTTTTTTTAATTTACCAATGAATCAGTTACCTAGTTCTTTATAGTTTTATTTTAATAAGCTCCGACAAATGACTCCACCCCACCTGATGTTAAGTGATGGTGGAGTCCAGACGCGACAATAGCTGGTACAGCAGTTTTACCTACAAGCCATCCTCACCTTGCTTCTTCACTTCTTAAGAATCCTGGGTTCTAAGAGGGAGGAAACATGTAAGCAGGCATAACATTCCATATGCGGAACGTGCGACAAAGAAATGAAGTTCTCAAACCATTGCTCCTTTGTTCACAGACTTTACCAAGTCCGTGTGGGGCTCCGCGTTTCCCCCAAGGTGCCGGTGCACATTGAGGCATCAGTATCCAGCGGCAATGGCGCCGCGAGGACGGGCCGCCCTGCCGCCAACGCCTCGCTTATCGGAGGCCTGGCTGCCTCCAGGGCATTCCAAATCATGTACAGAAATGAGGAGGTCACGCTCCGGGATATTGTGCATTTCAGAGCGCATCTCTTAGGTAAGCAATCGGTTCCTTGTACAAACAAATGACAAGAAATAGATAAATTACAGGGCGCGCGTTGTGGGTTGTGATGAGTTCTCTTTAAGACTTGCCTATAGTGAAAAACTACAATATAGCCGTGGCGATGGGGCGGCCGGCCGCCAATGTTTCGCTCATCAGAGGCCTGACCTAGCCAGGACCTCCGAAATCATGTACAGAAAAGAGAGGTCACGCTCCGGGATATCGTGTATTTCAGAGCGTATCTCCTAGGTAAGTAATATGTTCCTTGTACGTGGTGGGATAAGGTGATTTGTCTTTAAGATTGTCCGTGAAAGACTGCAATGCCACCACGAGGCCGGGTCCCTTGGCCGGCAACACCTCGCTTATCAGCGGCCTAGCTGCCACCAGGATCTACCTAATTATGTGCAGAAACGAGGAGGTCACACTCAGGGATATTGTGTATTTCAGAGCGCATCCCTTAGGAAAGCAACCTGTCAGTTGTAGGCGCAAATGACCGCGAAGTAGATAAATAACAGGGCGCTCGAGGTGGGTTATCGAACTCGTCTTTTATGAAAGTCTGTGCTCATTATAGGATAAGCTAAAGAAACATCGTGGATTTTAGAGTGCATCTTCTACGTAAACAGCAGTTATTTATTTGATAGACCCCGCACCAATAACTATTGTTGACAATGGCAACAATATTTCCACATCCAGAGGATAGCTATGACTAGCTTGATTTTCTTCAGTCATCAAAACTTTAGCACGACACTCTTTCACTTACAGTCGACAGCCGCAACCTCAAGGACTCCTTGGAGCGAGCGGAATGGAGTCTCGGAGTGGAGCTCTGGTGCAGCGAGGGTGCGCAGTCGAACACCCTCGCGCCGGTTTCCTGCAGGGTGTTGAAGCTGCACTTTCAGCCGTCCAACGGCCTGCACTACCACTTGCCGGTGCTGTTCGACTATTTCCACCTCTCGGCCGTCTCCATCACCATCCACGCAAGCCTTGTAGCTTTGCATCAGCCTTATATCAAGTAAGTATTGCAACGCGATCAATGAAGTTTTCATCAATTGACATGGTTTATAGAATAATACAATGCGCCACCTGGGGGCCATTCGCCTAACAGAACTGCTATGGAAAACGCTAACGCTTTCGATTTTATTTCATTATTTCTGACCGCCGAAGGTTTTCAAATACCTCACGCTATTTTTTTTTTAATATTGTTATTACCAATACAAAAGAAAAAAAAAGCTCGAGACATTTGAAAACCTCAGGCGGCTAGAAATAACAAAATAAAATCGTAAGCGATAGCGTTTTCCTTAGCATTTCGCTTAGGCGAATGGCCCCCTGTTAACTCTACCGGCTAGATAGTAAAATCTAAACCTTCTATCAGATCTTGCTAATGACAGCAAAATTGACTTATTTTCAGCCACTAGACAGGAAATATTTTTTTAAGATTTCACCAAAAACGTTTCCAATAAGGAAGTACTTAGATATCACGCTTACACATTCCTGTGTAAGCGTGATATTTAAAATCCTCATAAATTTTCATGTCTGTGCCGAAAGGAAAAGCATAATGCACTACGTGCAAAGCTGGTAAGTAGGCAATAGAACAGAAAATCATAATTCGGAATGTCTTTTATAAAACTATGTGACTGTGGAGATATCTAACGATCATTTAATATAATTTTTCAGTGCACCGCGCTCGAGTAAGCAGTGGGGCAAGCTGATGAAAAGTGCTGGCTCCAACTTCAACACTTCCGGCAGCTTCGAGAATGTGCTCTTCGGCTCCGCGGGGAAATGCACCGGCGGAAACTCCAGCAAAATTGCGCACGCTAGGTGAGTGCTGCACGATCGATCAGGAAGTTTGCTTTCATCTTCTTCATATAGAGAATATCTCTTGAGACGTAAACAAACCAGGTTGAAGCGTAAGAAAGTATATATATCAAAATGAACCACGAATTTCATGATCGAATTGAACGCCCGTCTAGGAAAATAACCACCACCTGTAGAAGGCTATTGTTTATTTATTTATTTATCTTTATTACCATAAAAACAGTAAATGACGGAGTTATTGCCATAGGCATTGTCAGCCAGTAAAGGTGTAGGAGATGAAATGTTATGGCGATAAAATATAAGTGAGGATCAATATAAAAAATAAAAACTATCTTGTTTGAATTGTTTCTGGCAAGCAAGATAAGCAGCGTTTTTCCTACTCTATTAGCAACCTGCATAACTAGCCACAACAAACATTTTTGCTAGCAGTTCTGTGACATTTTACACTTCATAACCTTGCAGTATTACCGCTACACGATTTTCTAACAAACTGGCGGCACTTTTATACAGTTCAAAAAAATATCCATGGATCAATTACTCCGCCAAGTCAATAGAAATGAGTCAACATTATTATTATTATTATTGTCCCCACTGTTGGGGCACAGGTCTTCCCTATAGATGGAATAGGGAGACTGGGTCATGACCCACCACGCAGGTCCAGTACGGATTGGTAGGTGCTAACGACTGCAGATGCAGCCGGGACCGTTGGTCCTTAACGTGCCATCCGAAGCACGGGGGAGTTGTATACAGTAAATTTGTGGCCATCCATCCAAAGACCGACCACTGCGAAAGTTGCTTAACTCAACGATTTCAGCGGAACGCGCTAAACATTTGCGCCATCGAAGTCCTCCGATACGAGAGAAATAAATGAAATAGAATAACTTATTTGATTAATTGTATTAACAGGCAAGTGCATGCTGAAGTCTGTGGAATCCTCCTGGGTTCTCTGGAGGGGTTGCAGACTGCTCTGTCGATATGTGGCTCAGCAGGAGTGCTGCTCACGCCTGAGGAATCAGCCAACAACTCCGTCGTCGGGGAAGTGGCACAACGTCTGAAGGATCTGAACGACATTGGCAAGGTGGTGTATTGTATACTATTTTCATTCATTTCTTTCGTATTTGTATTGGACATCATATGCACTTTGTTCACCAAAGTATTGACTGTAATATGTAAAGTTTTATACTTACAAGACACTTATGGGATAAATATCAAGTTAATCACGATTATCGATTATCAAATAGCTCCTAAAGTTGCCACCGTCACTTTTCTGTGTTCACCACCAACCATAGAGCAATGATAAATTTTTCAACTTTTGGCCATTTTACTTGATATTTCAGGTGATGTTATATGAATAATAAATTGCGAAGAGGGTGTGCCTATTAGATCAATTAAGAAAGACTACAATAAATATGTCAAGTATAAATGTGCTACGCTGCCCAATAATAAAGTGAATCCTGTTGATACACAGAAATCGGAAGCAGGTGAAGAGGAGGAATGGGCAATGGGTCTAGCGCACGACATCGCCCGTCTCTGCGCCGAGGTGACGCTGCGGTGGCGCGCATTCCTGCACCACACCTCGGACAGGCCGCACGTGCACCACGCGCTCGCCGCTAGGCACCACGCGCTACGGTGAGTCTGTTGCTCCACAAAGGCCGGTGTGGAGGAGACATCGCTCGTCTCTGCACCGAGGTGATGCTGCGGCGGCGCGCATTCCTGCACCACGCACTCGCCGCTAGGCACCACGCGCTCTGGTGAGTCTGTTGCTCAACAAGGGCGGTCAGGAGATATCGCTCGTCTCTGCACCGAGGTAAAGCTGCAGCGGCGCGCATGCCTGCACCACGCGCTCGCCGTTATTCACCACGCGCTCCGGTGAGTCTGTTGCTCCACAGAGGCCGGTGAGGAGGAGACATCGCTCGTCTCTGCGCCGACGTGGCGCGCATTCGTGCACCACATCTCTCACGTGCACCACGCGCTACGACGGTGAGTCTGTTGCTTCACAGAGGCTGGTGAGGAAGAAACATCGCTCGTCTCTGCGCCGCGGTGACGCTGTGGTGGCGCGCATTCATGCACCATATCTCGGACTGGCCGCACGTGTAGTAAGCGCTCGCCGCTAGGCACCACGCGTTCCGATTAGTCCGTTACTCCAGACACCAGTGAGGAGGAAACATCACTCGTCTCTGCTCCGAGGTGACTAAGGAGAAAACCTTTGCGCACGGTATTGCTTGTTTTTGTTATGTTTCCGACAGAGTTTCCCTCCATTGAATTGATTTCCATAAATCATAGAGAACCAAAATTTTGGGCTGCTACCAGATCGCTGCATACAATAAAGAATTATTTGTAGTTCATCTCTTGATCACTCTTTCCAGCATCAAGCGCTTCGCCGAATGCTTCTTCGTGTTGGACAACCCACGGCACTCGCTCGCCGGCTGCTACGACAGCAACTACCAGTCGTACCAGAGCGTGGGTGAAGCAGTGCGACGCTCGCGTTATTTGGCACTGCTGCCACCACTACCGGTGCACTGCATCGCACTGGACGGTGACCCGCATATCATGCCGATCATATTCGAAGACAGGTACTGCATTGTTCTGCTTCCCCTTTGATTATTCTGTTCCTTCTATCTCTAAAAGACTACTACTAGTGGTACCGGCCATTTGGCGCTGCTACCACTTCTACCAGTGTATTGCATCGCACTGGACGGCGAATTTCCTCCGGGTATATTAAAAGAACGTTGGACGAGAACAAGCCTGAGATTATATCCCAACTAAAAATAATATTCGGGGAAGAAATTCGAGTGATAACTCCTGAAATCTTGTGAAAAGTCATAGACAACGTGTGATAGAGCGCATCATTGCGAAGCTGAGAATAAGCACCACATGCGACGTTATTTTTCATGTTTAAATTAAGCAAATTCCCCATTCATAAAATATTACAACATTAATTGTTTTAAAAAATCAAAAATAAAGATATTATATAGCTGTTACCCGCGGTTTATTAGGGATACAGTAAAACATAGCCTATGTGTTAATCCAGAGTGTCAGCTAACTCCATACCAAATTTTATTAAAATCGCTCCAGCCGTTTAGACGTGAAGAAGTAACATACATACACACTCACAAACTGTTGCTTTTATATTATTATTGTGATTATAATCCCTTCGTTTCTTAAGCGCCACCCCATATTTTCTACATAGAGCAACACGGCCGACGCGGCCAAAAGGGGAGTCGGCATTTCATACACTTCCCTCTGTCGATTTTCCCCCGCTGTTGGGCCAGCTTCAAAACAAAACTAAGTTGCGCTCGGATATTTCACTAGACTGAGTCAAGTCGCGTGAGTGTATGTTAGAGATAAAAAATGCCAAAATGTTACGTAATTTGCTGTAAAACATATATTGAATATTTAACTTAGAAAAGAGTGGAGTTAAATTTCATATTATTTCTATTTTTAATTCATATTATTTTGTTAAAACTCGTCAGTCTTGTTTGACAAAACGATCGACTCGCCAGAACAAATTTCAGTACCCCTAGAACGAACCAATATCGAATTCGTATCGTTTGCGAGTCCGAAATGTCATTGACAAATGTGTACTGATTTTTATTTCTCGTTACGTACTTTGTGCCGCTGCTGTTCAAGTTTCCATACAAAATTTGACATTGACATTTCGGTTTACACACTATTCGAATTCGATAATGGTTCGTGCTAGGGGTACTATCTGTCAATAAAATATATTAAGTTTCATATATGCCCGATTTAGCGCTGTCATTTTTTATGTGTAAGTGTCGTAGTTACAATTTCGTTTTGCGACAGTATGTTAGACTGCATTTGTGTGCAGGTTCGTCCCCCCGCAAAAAGCGGCAGAATGATTTCAGTAATATTATGTCATTATGGCTACTCCCCACCTAGCTGCGTCGTACTATTAAACATAATATTGTTGAAGTAATATATTGTTAGAAAACTAATTACAATTCATATAACTTATATTTTACAGATATCAAGATACTGCTGAGTTTGCAAGACGTCGTTCATTCTTGAATTCCAACGCAAATAAATCGGGTAGTGGTACGTAGTAATTTTATTAATAAAGCATTAATTATTGCATTTTCATTAACTGTATCATGTAATCATGTGTATTCTTTTTCAGATCCCTTTTTATGTACGGAATCAATGGGAGAAGATTGTGCCTGTGGTGTAGGTCCTCTTATGGATTCCAGAAGACCATCATCAGAAGCTTCTAGAGTTACGCTTACGTTACCTAAAACAATTTTAGACGTTCTCGAACCACAATTCAATACACCGAAAAGTAATAATAGCGTGGTACAAGCTACCTTGACTCTTGCACCACAAAAATCTGCTCGAGGCTCCCCAAAAAGAACCCTAGTAAAACAAAATGTGGTTGAAGTAACCAAGGCATATAATAAGCAATTAGAACTGACCGGAAGGAATAGATATATTGTACAAAATAATCAAATTAGTGAAATTCAACTACCGCCTAACAGTGCATTTGCTTCATGCTCTATACAACAAGGTCAACAATTGTCTAGGTACTCTGCTTCCACTTTATTAGATATGAATGCAACGAAAAGCAATACCAATATTTTGCATTCAGGTAGAGATTTAAATGATACCAACGATTTTCGACAGAAACATGAAATTACAAGTGGAGTGAGTACCCTGCCTGCAAGACATAGCAAATCTTTAGACCAATTACGAGTTGCTCAGATGACACCTTTTAGCAATTCGCAAACTTTAACAAAAACTGTTAAGAATAGTTCTAATACTTCTGTTAATTATCCAAAACCCTATCATCAACATCATCCCCTACAACAAGTGAAACCTAGTACTCTCCCACGCAGTGTTACTACTACAGCATACCCAACGAGCACAACTACCAGATGTGGTACTAAAGGCGATGACTATAGAAGAAACATAAGCGAATTCAGAGAAAAATATAAAAATCCTTGTAATCTCGTTAACCCTCATGGAATGAACAATGAAGTGTTCCATAATGTAGGATATAAGTATGATGGAGGGATGAAATGTAATCCTAATCAAGTGTACGGTTATACATTCGGTAATCAGGGTACTCTGCCAGTGAATAATGTTATTCGTAATCCGTTAGAATTTCAAAGAGGCTACAATGTAAATTTACCCCGTCCTATGTTGCCTCCGCGTAACTCATACCCACCAGTAAGTGGGAAAACCCAAGCGACTGATCAAAATAACTTAGTTTCTAATAAACACGTTCATAGGTCAAACTCTACGCACGTGTTTCATCAAAATGTGGAAAACCAACAAATTGATATAGAAGCAGCACGGAACCAGTTACGACATGAATTGAATTATTATCTTCAAAAGGGTGACTGGAGTTACGACTTTAATACTGGAAGTTTAATACAAAACTATCAGAAAAAATCTAGTAAAAGTAGCGATGATAGTGGATTCGTCATGACATTGGACAGAAGCAGTGATTGTACTTCCAAATCAACGTATTCTAAAACTCCTCCTTCGACACCACATTCTACAATGCCTTCAGTACGGCATAAAAAGAGTCGCTCAAAAGAATCCAAGTTAAATAATAGCGCCAAAGAGAATGCCAAAGTCAATTCGAGTCGTGATTCACTTAGCAGTCATCATTCGATCAGATCAAGGGACAGTAAATCAGACCGTCAAACCTCGAAGTCAGAACGAAGTACCCCAAAGTCCGATAGAGGTACACCAAGATCTGGAAAAGCTACTCCAAAATCAGGAGGTATTACACCAAGATCAGGATTAGCTACTCCGAAATCTGGAAGAACTACACCAAAATCAGGCATGGCAACTCCAAAAAGTGGAAGATCCAGTGGGAGACCAGAGAAACGTTCGAAACATAAAGCTTCGGAAAAGATGACTCAACTTATGTCTGAAGCGGCATCGTCTTCTAGTAATGAAAGCATACCATTTGAATTGCGTAGACTAGAGTCATCTGCTAGTGTTCCATATAGTCTTGATCATGGTCCTGAATTATTAAGGCATTGCCGAAGTGCTGCATCCGTGTTAGATGAACCAAATATAAACAACACTTTCGGTTCAGAATCATTACCAAATCTAGCACCTCCTCCAGCGTTCGAATCACCTCCTTTAGACATAGCAGATAAAGATTTTAAAATTTTGCCTCCAGAAAATTTCTCTAATAAGGAAGAAAAACGCAGCCAAAGTAATTCTACGTCAAGTCTCAGTGAACAAAGTGGTTGGGTATCTAGTGGACGGAGCTCAGGTCCATCGTCGCCAGATAATGCAAGTAGTCAATTAAATCAAACCTTTACATCTCCTGGAAATCCAACCACGTCAAAATCTGCTCCTCAAAAATACGAAGAAGAAGCAAAACCAAAAAAAGTTGAAGGTGATACTATTAGTGATTTTAAGAGAACTATTTTAAATGGAGAGCAGTTAAGGGAACGTTTACTGAAACTGGCTGTGAAAGTAGCACAGAATAATACGAATGAGAAAATAGAATGCTGTGATAAAGAAGTTTGTGAAGAATGTACCATATGTAGCGACTCCATTTGCACAGACAGCCAATGTGAATATAATAAATTAATGCATAGTAACGGCATAGATGCTGGGTGTAGTTCTGACACATGTACTGCGAGTTGCTTACAACAGTTTTCTGACGTACCTTCAGCGAAAGCTAATCAACGACATAATTCTTTTAGCGCTGGTCAAGGTAAATCGTACAGTTCAAGCTCTAAATCAACGAATGAGGGAACTGTCAAGAAGTCCCAGACTATTGGTGACAACTTACATCCTTATATTCGTAAGGAAATTCCTTCTAAAGCCCAACCTGCACCCACACCAGCAGCTGGAACTACAGCAACTGCAAAGTCAAGTTCAATTAACAAAACTAAACTCAGGGATAGAATAGAATATACCGAGAAATTAATTGCAGCAGAAATACTAAGCCTTACAGTTGACAGATCATGTAAATCACATAATGGCAAAAAGGTTCAATCGGGACCTGTCTCTGCAGTTCAAAAACTCCAAAATAAAGCGCGATCTGAAGTTGATCTAGCCCATTTCATAGGTGATAATGATTATGAACATTTACCTCCTCCTCAGCAGTTTAGAGACGCCCCACCACCCCCTGATGAATTTAAGGTAGCTATCAGTTATATTTCTATCAGTTATTCTTAATATTTTTAAACAATATAAAAATTATACTCTATCGTTACAGGATCCACCTTCAAAGTCACCGAAGCTAAGTAGACAAAGCAGCAAGTCCTCAACGCCCTCGAAAACACCTCGAAAGCAATCAGCTCAACCATCCCCACTGCAGTTGGATAATCCGTTATACCATGTTTGTGAAGGTAGGTAAACTTAAAATAACAGAATATATCCCTAATGGACATGCTATGTACTCTTATTTATTAACTAACAAAGTGTAATTCTGCTTCTGCTATTAACAAATTTGTTTGTCTTGGCTTGGCATCAGGTATTATGGAGAGGCGAAAGCTGCGTCCCCATCAGTCGATCAATTCTTCATTAAGCACTCCGACTGGCACTCTAAACAAGAGTCAAAGCACCGGCGAACTAGCTAAAAGAAATGATAATGGTAAAATCTTATGAAATATAAAATTAGCAATTAGATCAGACATAACTAATTATATATTTATACTAGCTGACCCAGCGAACTTCGTACCGCCCTAAAAAAATAGGGGTTGTCCAGCGGACAAAATTGTAAATCTAAACCATTCTCAGATCCCCTTGAACACACACAAAAAATTTCATCAAAATCGGTCCAGTCGTTTAAGAGAAGTTCAGTGACATACACACTCACAGAAGAATCTTTATATATATAATTCTAGACAGGACAACGTCTGTCGGGTCCGCTAGTTATATATATAAAGATTATCTCAACTTCTTTTAAGTCAAACAATATAACTTTTGTTTTCCAGAACCACGTGAAAGCAACCTCATTAGTATTTTTGGCTTGGCTGAATCAGAACGACTCTTCGTTAAATGTAGAGAGGAATTCCGGCAAAGTGTCAAGTATCCCGGCGCTATTTATTCCGACTTTCCACCACTAGAAAACTCCTTGCCTTACTTCCATATCAGCGATGAATACAGAATGTTCAATCCTGAAGGTAGGATAAACCGTTAAACAGCTTATTGAATTAATAAAATTGTAATGAATGGATTAGAAAAACTATAAATTTAATAAAAATACGGCAATCTTCAGTCTGAATTTACAATAATTACACTCAAGAATATTTGTTGAATATAATGTGTACTACCCAAACATCAATCAACAACTCTAAACTTACGTTTTTTCCAGGTTTACACCTTATAATCTGCGTACATGGCTTAGATGGAAACGCAGCAGATCTGCGATTAGTGAAGACTTATCTGGAGCTAGGACTTCCAGGAGCCAGATTAGATTTCCTAATGTCTGAAAGGAATCAAGGCGATACATTTTCAGATTTCGATACGATGACTGATAGGTATCTGTTACTTTTAAGGCTGAATGTGTTAATATAAGTTAAGTAGCGAAGGAATAAACAAATGTTTTTCTTAAGAGACATATAAAGATCCATAAGATACAACTTAACATGGAGATTTATTGTACTCCAAAGAAAAATCCATTACATTCGTCTTCTGCACCCTGACTAGTAGACTCGTAGAATGCCTATTATGGCATTTAGTCCACAATTTAATGTTTTTGTAATATAAAGAATAAATAAATAAAAATAAGGAAGATCATGCGGTTAATTTAAGTATTGACTTTTTAATCTCTAAACTCACTTCTTTTCAGGCTTGTTCAAGAAATACTGACCCACATACAGAATTCGAGCGATCCCGCTAGAATCAGTTTCGTGGGTCATTCATTGGGCACGATCATTATAAGATCAGCGCTCGCTAGGAAAGAAATGAAGCCTTTCCTAGGAAAACTACACACGTTCCTTTCGCTAAGCGGACCTCATCTGGGCACACTTTATAATTCAAGTGGCTTAGTAAACGCAGGTAACAAACTTTGTTTTAAACTTTTTAAAACGCGTCCATTGCACATGTTCATACCATACGGTAATAATAAATCCACCTCCATGAAGCAGAATTTGACATTTGAGTTTAGGCCAAAAAGGGGTCGGATAACACTGTCGATACATTTTGTAACATCCGTAAGCATAGAGCAAGCGTCGTGTTATGTTTTTTGGTTTACAGTCCAAAAACGGTTACTTCAAAATATCAGTAAAATTATATTTGACATGTCGCAAAAAAATCTTATCCATTTTAACGCTTTCTTAAAATTTTAAAGTTTTCTTATATAAAGGTACCTATATAAAAGATGCCACTTGTATACGATACAGTCCCAGATTCTTTTTGATTGATCTATCGTTTCCACTAGGTATACTACACATTCCGTGAGATTAATCGTATCTTTCATTTCCAGGCATGTGGTTCATGCAAAAGTGGAAAAAATCCGGTTCCCTACTACAGTTATCTTTACGAGATGCCTCAGATCCTCGCCGGTCGTTCCTCTACCGCCTGAGCGAAAGGAGTCAACTTCACCAGTTCAAGCATATCCTCCTTTGCGGCTCAGGCCAGGACAGATACGTGCCTCTCCACTCCGCCCGATTGGAGCTTTGTAAGGCCGCTGCGAAGGATACCTCGTTGTTAGGTCAAGCGTATAGAGAAATGGTAAGTTTTTTAATGTTGTCTTAAGCCTTGTATCAAAAATAGTCTGAGCGAGAGGTGTCAACTGCACCGGTTCAAGCATATCCTCCTCTGTGACTCGGGCCATGATGGATACGTACCTCTCCGCTTCCTATATAGTAAATATGGAACCTATACCATATTACTGTTATGAAAAATTACTAATACCCATCAAATAACAAAGTAAAAGAAACACTCTGTCCATGCATTACGATCATTTAGATACTCGTCAACTTTATAATAGCCCTTCTTCATAAGAGCATTCTTGATCTAAGATTCAAATTTGGTCAGTGGAAGCTCAACCAGATCTTGGGGAACTTTACTAAACAATGCAATACTACAACCCAGAAATGAACCTCTTGATTTTTGGAGTCTGAAACATGGAACGGCAAGCTTGTTCCTAAATCTCGTGTGAAAGTTATGTGTTTGACTTTTTTTCGCAAATGCGTCATAGTTTTTTCTTACATTTATTAATTATATTTTCATAAATGTATTGCGATGCCAGTGTTAAAATATTAATTTGTTTAAATTTTTCTCTAAGAGATTCTCTTGCCTTTAAGTTGTATATGGCGCGAACAGCTCTCTTTTGTAGTATGAAAATACTTTCGATTTATTTCGATATTAGCAGCTGAGCCCCACAACAAAAGGCCATATGATATGACGCTATGGAAGTAACCAAAGTAAACCAATCTTGCCGTTTCCACATCAGTTAAGAGCTCAGTCTACTTGATAAGGCAACAATATGAATATCCCATTGCAGATGCGAGTCTAAAGTAATACCCAGAAACTTTGAAGAATCCACCAATTCTACAATCTGGTCATTTATTTTTATACTAGTATTAACCTGCCTCACATTAGGTAGAGTAAACTTAACACATTTAGTTTTACTGGAGTTTAGTTTTAGATTATTTACCGTAAACCAATGAAGGACTTCAGAGAGAGCACAATTTACTTTGTCACAACAATCATTTCCTCTTCTAGCTTTAAACACTAAAGAGGTGTCATCAGCAAATAGTACAGTCTCACATAAATCTCTTGTAAAGTGAGGAAGGTCATTGTGGTCAATATTGAACCCTGGCGCACGTCCATAGAAATGGGTGCTCCTGTAGACTCAGCTTCATTTATAACTACTTTCTGAATCCTAGCAGAAAAATAAGACTGTATCAGACTAAGTGAAATATTTGATACACCAGAATAATTCATTTTATTTAACAATGTTCCATGACTAACGCAGCAAACGCCTTGAAAGAGTCTATATTTTAAGTAATTACTTTTCAGTCACTTTTCATGTTTTCCTCTGAGGATTTTTTATTAGATCAGTAATTTTCTAATACATAAGTTGAATGACCAAAATTCATAAACTAACAAACCTTTTTAATCATCTCCAGGTTACATGTAGGGAAGCTGCCCTAAAAAGATATTCTTCAAAATTTTATTTTACCACTTTGTCAGCATGATTGATATTCATATCTCTACAAAATTACAGCTCTTTAGTACACACAGTCTCCAAGCAAAACCAGGGACGGACAGATAGACAGACATGACGAAACTATAAGGATTCCTTGTAGGGACTACGGAACCCTAAAAATTGAACGATCTTTTACTCCGAAACCTGGCAACCAAGGAGATAACTTAACAAAGGTCTCATTTAATTTTCGTAACTTCTCGCTGTATATTGAAAAACTAATAAACACAAGGAAATATACTATTTTAAATAATTAGTAAATTAAAACTACTAAGACAGTATTTTATGAGAAAAGCTCTATACAAGCCTTGGCCACAAGTAGATATTTATGTACTTACGTATGTGTGCCTCGAACACTTTCGTCCAACAATGCCTCTTTTGCTGGCCGCTGCAGTAATGTGCTATACAGTTGCTCAAAAAGTGGCGTATTGCAGGGACGTATGGCGTTTGGGCGTTCGGAGTGTGAGCTATTACATACTCGAGCTTTTTCTTCACCTTTTCAGAACTCGTGCGTTCTCTTTCCCAACTGTCAAAATAATGTCTATTAAAAAGACAAAACCAACCACAAAGTTTTAACTAAATAAATCACAGAAGCTTTTATGATTCATGCAAATATTTCTAAAAAGAAGCTACTAATTTGTTTCAATATCAGATTTAATGATTTGATTCAATGAGTTAGGTTAGGTTTCATTTCATTTCATCTCATTATATTTCATTTTTATTTCATATTAATAAAAAAATGTGCAATGACGTCATCCAGGTCCACAACATGGTGTCGCCGCTGGCAGCGCGCGCCTCCACCGTATCCGTGGTGCGATACGACGTACAGCACGCGCTGCCTCACACAGCCAGCGCGCTCGTCGGCCGCGCGGCGCATATAGCAGCGCTGGATTCCGACCTGTTTATAGAAAAGTTTCTGTTGGTGTCAGCTCTGAAGTATTTTAGATGAATATAGGACACACAAGGACTGCGATGAAAATGTGTGAAGAAGTTCTGTTTTTTTTTATTATATGTGGTAACTATTGAAAATGGAATGTATTTTTGAGATCGTGGCGCACATAGCAGTGCTAACTCTGACTGTTCATAGAGAAGTTTCTATTGGTGTCTGCTCTGAAGTATTTTCGGAGAACATAGCAACGAGCGCGAAGAAATTGATAATTTAAAAACGATGGTTAATTTTAAAACTTCTTTTGATTTTTTTTGATTTGGTCGTTTTTAAAAATGGAAAAGCTATCTAGAGAAAATTACACTTGAGTTACTTTACTAACATACAAAGACAGTTTGGATATTTTATAATAACTGGATCTATAATTTCAGTACATTCATGGCATTTTCGCAGAGCGTTCGTTTGTATGGCATTTTAAAAGAGCATTTTCTCTCTCGACAACGAATTATTTCGATATTATTTAATTTATTTGAGTAGTTTCGATAGATTTAATGATAATTATTGGAATTTATTTAATTTTATGTTATCATTATAATAAATCACCTACATAGGTACTGTTTGTACGTCATCACTTCTACGATTAATTTACATAAATGATGTCCACTTTTGTAAATCAGTCTCTTTTCTACAAATATTTTTAAAATAAGCATTACTAAAATAATGTTACACTTACTTACATACTAGTTGTAACGAAATAGGTTGCTAATAATACTGTATTATTAGAGAATGGGTAACAACATGACGATAAAGGACGAGAAGTCTACTCCAAAACCAGAAGTTGAATGAATTATTCTTTTATTAAATAATCACATACGAATCCTAATTGAGAAATCCTATTATTAATAAACGAAATATAATCTAGTATTAGTTACTCCATGTTTTGTCTCTGTTCTCTGTTGTGTTTGTTCGAATGACAAATGGGATATGCGTGATATGAACAAAACACGGCGTAACTAGTCTAAGCTTAGTCCTCGTTTATTAATAAACCCCCTTATTGGAGGGAAGGAGTGGGAACAGACTGTAGATCAGTGGTTATTAACCGGTTGTCACCCGAAGTGGTCCGCGAAATCATTTGAGAAATTATTATATTAGTATTAAGGACGCTAATTTATAAATTCTAGGGAGGTGGTGCAAATCGTTACTAGGGGTCCGTGGTAAGACAGAAATTTTGACAAATGGTCCCTCCTCACTAAAAGGTTAAGAACCACTGCTTTAGATGATGATGAGACTTGGCGATCTATGCAAAATCAGAGACATTTTTATACTGCTAGCAAAAAAAACGATGACTTTTTATTGCTATTTATATGAGTTGACAGTTTGATAACAGTTAAAGCTCAACAGATGTTGTTCTCACTGGTAACGAATAGGAAAAACATCCCATTTGTTACCAGTTCATAATCGCTCTCAATGGAGTTGAGCTCTTATAAGTTCCTATAATTTTGTCGACGCGTGTTGCTTTAAAGTAAGTTACTCATTTTGGAATAGACTTTTGGTTTCCATTTGGTTACTACGATGTGATTATTGTTGTAAGTCCTACGCAATATGTAAATACAGTCTACAGCGCGCCAGGTTACCTACTGCAATTTTAACAATCAGTAAAACTCTTTATCGTACTAAAACAGTTCTAAAATTATCTGAGGATGAAAATCTGCATATAAATCCGTTTAGTAGTTTTTCCGTTGGATCATCGCGAACGTACTCTCATGATACAAAAATAGTAGCAGATTATTTTGATACTGAGAAGGACCTAACTTTATCCTTAATCAAAATAAATTTGTACAGTAAGCTTGTATTGCCATTTATATTAATTTAAACATAGAGCAATCAAGACTAAAAGTAAAAGTAGAGTCTGTGCGGAAAGAGAATGGGCGTGGCGAAAAACGGAACTAACATTAAGATTTTTTTTTGGCAATCAAACCCAGCAATCTGAAAAACGTCAAAGTTTTGTATTGATACGGATTTGTTTGTTGTTGTGATATCTTGCGGTTTTTTGTATTTAATCATGTCTAAAAAGGGTAAAACCGTACAAATACGGTAGAAAAGCACTACAGCGCCCTCCAATCTAAATCCCATTCTCTTTCCGCACAGACTATCAACTTTTTTGTTTCATACTATTAATCCACATATACCGACAACAATTGTATAATGTAGATAGGTAGATATTTTGTTTTTTTAATGGACACTTACTCGTTAGTGAAACGTGTGATAAAAAAATATTTAGTATCCTAAAATGTAGAGTGATATATGAACAGTGTCGAATATAATAAGATAAAACCATTTAATTAAGTAAGTAGGTAAACTATAAGACGGATCTTTACACCAATTAATTAGGAATAATAACTAGCAACAATCTACGTTAATTTTAGGTTATTGTATAGGTAGATGATGTTACCTTGTTTGTGTTTTGCGTTAATAAGGATCTCTTCAGTCACATTCTCTTAAACATCTGCTAAGGAAAAAGCTACCTAGGTATAATAAATAATGCTATAGGTAAATAATTTATAAGAACACTCTACAAACGATATTAGAAATTTGTGAAATTGTAAATCGTATCTAACTAAGTAAGTACTTAATCTGATAAAATATGAATGAAATGAACTTACATAAAGGTACTTATGGAAGCTTATGAACGATTTTTCGGGAATTGGCCCCTCCGCTGCAATACATAATACTCGTTTCCTATTTCGCTTAATACCTTTTCATATTCTATCAATTTACTGATATTATTGTTCATAATTTGTTTGCGAAAAATATGAATCTATATAATAGATTCCAATATTTCTTCAATTTTCATCAAAACGCTATCCGCATTAAAGCAGTTAGTACTAACGTGTAAGTTAAAAATAAAAATCAAGACAAAGTTTTTGTTTTGCTGTAATTAAATTATTAAGGTTTATGAGAGAAGGCACTCAGCATTTAGATTTTACTCATGATATGACTCTACCTGTCACAAAATTATATGCAAGGTAAGTAAATTCATATCTTGATGATATGGCAATATACACGTTATCATAATTATATTATTTACTATTATAAACTAATCTGAGAGCCAACTCTTGAGCCAATCAAATTTAAAATTAAACTAAATTAAATGTATTTTAATTTAGTTACCCTTTCAATGTGTTTTAAAAACGAAAAACTTGTTTATTATTCTGTTTCGGTTTTATATTTATATTGTAATACTATTTATATAATTTGAAACTGTGAATCTATGGTGACAATCGATCAAAAAGTGTTTATTTATTTGTTACTTCAGTTTATGATAAGAATAACTTACTCAGATTTTCTTATTTTGTAATTTTGTGTTTCTAAGAAAATAATTTATTTTTTACTTCCTTATTTATTCTAAAATGTCTTGAAACTCTGTAATTGGCTTAGTTGTTTAAATAAGTTTACTTAAGCATGTAATTAATAAAAAAAAGCTGTTGAGTTTCCTTATAAAAAAAAATGGATTTTATGTTGGTAACAAATAAACTCTGCTGCAGAGATGATCTTTCAGTTTATGTAAAACATAGATTTCCTTGCAAATTTGTTACATGTCCTGAAAACCATTTTTTTAATGAGCGATAGATAACACAAAAACTAAATACCTACCATTTTTATTTTATTCATAATGTACAGATAAAATTTTCAGTTACTACACGTTAGTACTTGGTTGCTTAAATGATTATAACTTACATCCTGTCCCTACTTACCTTCTAGCTAAATGATAAACTAGACTAGGTAAATAAATATTCATACCTAGTTAATATTATACTTGCACAAAGGAATCTACTTTAAAGCATTTATGAATATTCTAACCTATCCTGTTAGATATCACAATGAAATAGTTATTTATTATACAAGAGTGGAAAGTTCCTTTTTAACCGCGTGCTCGATTTGGATGACCGAGCAAGCGAAGGATTCTAAAGTTGAATCACGAGCGCAGCGAGTGATTCTAAATTAGAATCCTGAGCGTCAGCGAGGGAAACAAACGAGCACAAGGTGAAAAATCTTTCCACTCGAGTGCAATACGTAACTTTTCATCCCACCTCAGCGAGGAAATGACAAAATGAAAAAGAAAACAATTTATAATGACAAAATATTTAAGCAATAAAACGTGAAAAACTAGAATGGCGCGAAGCACGCAAATAAAACAAAGAAACCAAGAAGGTTCCAAATTTAAATTTTTTCACAATTTAAAAAGTTCTAATCATAAATTTGGCACCATAGAGGTTACATTAAATAGGTTTAATGACGTTTTGAATTTACAATTATATTGAGTACTCATTATATGTGATGTTCTAAATTCAAATCTACTTTGCCGCTCAAGCGAATAAAATAGAATTTTCCAGCCAGATTTCGAAGCGCAAAATTACACTTTCCGAGGTGGTGGGATGAAAAAATAATTGCATTTGCCTAACTTCACATAATTAAGTGAGTCATGATTTCAAACCGTTTTGGACAATTCCACCTTTATAAAATATCACGAAGTATAAAAAAAATGAGGGCCTGTATAATAATTTGGCCATAGCCTTACGATTATAAAACTTTAGAAACTAAAAAAATGTTAAATTTATCGAATGTTAGACTGATCTTTAAATTATACGATCACTAAGATTATTTATAAGTTTCATAGATTTATCTTTTCGTAACGAGTACGTAGCGAACGTTATTTCATGTAAAGTACAGTCACAGTACAGTCCTCAAACTTCGTTGTATCCAATTTCTCTATTGTAATAAAATATTGAAACGGTAAGTAGATGATGTTTTATACAGGGGCTTGAGAATTCGTATAATACTTATTTATTATGTAGATAATGTTGGTAGCGAAGACAATTATCATAATGTACTCTTAAAACTAAATTTGACAGCCTGAAAAGAGAGAAAATAGTTTTTTACTCGTATCATCGATGTAATCGCAATTACGCTTCATCAACAATTCTATAGATAACGGGTTAGCGCTTAAAATCCGTCTCGGTAAATATATTTATGTGTGTGTATATAGATATATATGTATATGTGGTATGTATGTGTAAACATACACAGGCGAGGCGTGAGATCTTATTTTAAATCAGTTCTGTTAATACAAAACGAAGTAACTGCCAATGACTGGTAAAAATATTTGTGGGCCATAAGGTTGATTTCACATTTATCTTCTTTCACCTTTACCGTTTTTTCCAAGTACCAGATATAATTTATAAAAGGATCAAGAGTCCTTTTCATAAGATTAAAGATGTTATGTGCCATATAACATTTTGTTATTTGTAACCTTATTCCTCCGTGAGGTAGGTAGTTGTTATTAGGTTCTACTTAAACTGTTTACCTTTGTTCATTGGGAATCGAATGTAGCTGGATAAGTTTAAACATACGCGGACAGTTCTTAGCTTTGATTTTGTATGCAACCCGTTATCTATAGAATTGTTGTTCGAAGCAATTGCGGTATAAAAACAATTGCATTTTAATGTATTAAAAATACTCTGATATAATAAGGTATATATATATACCTTCTGTTTATTGAACAAAAAAAGAAAGTCTCTGGCAAAAAGAATAGGTGTCTGTCAGATTTCGTTTTAAAGTTTTATTATTTAATAATCGCAACCTCTATGTGCCGAGCGAGTGTGAGTTTATGTTAAAAGTACAAATAACGCATTTACATTACTTTTTTATTTAGAGGCAATTTGATAATACCCATGTAGAAGATAGTTTGCTTCACATAGGCAGGAATCTAAAATAATTTCCTCTGCGTTACTATTCCTGATCTTAAGCAAAGCAACTGCGGACCCATTGTTTATTAAAATGTTTTATTTTACCGCATATATTCTCAAGAAAAATACTAAATATCTGTTAAACTATTACTTGAAACTTACACTCGATTCACACTTTACGAGATGCCTGATGAATCTAGCAAAATAATACCTCATACTTGCTCACAGGCATGACTGTAAGAAGGAATGGAATAATAAATTTTAAGTAAAGTAAGTAGGTGCGTATCAAAGTGACAAGAATGAAATTGTAAATACTAGAGATGGAATTTTATTTGTAAATCGTATGTTTAATGGCAATGTGTCGATGTTATACACTTATGATAATAAATGAATAAAGCCTGGAATAATATTTTTTTTTATTTATAACGTAATTTTGCTTATAACCTAACCTAAGTACCTGTGTCAAAAAAACTTAAATCGTTTATTATAATAATATCTAGGCTGTTGAAAGCACTTGTGAATGTCGAAAAGCTACACCTAGGGTTGCCAACCCTACTATTTAATATACATAGTATACTACCAAAGAATGATTGGTTAAGTTCACCATCTCGACATTTTGTCGGTTTTAATAAATACCCCGTCCATAAACACACAAGAAAAGAGGTATCTATGTCCCCAATATGTCTTCTATTATCTATTATTATATAGTTTAGTTTGATGTATTAAATATATAATAAACCGTAACATATGTATGATTAATTATGAGAAGCACCTGACTAGTGTGCATCTGTAGTATATTGTGTGCGAGTTGCTACTTGTATACTTCTATATTATATAATATTCTACTATATTATATAGTAGGCGAAACTACTATATTTTTCTTAAAGCAGATATTAGCCACTAAAACCTTTCTTAAAAATAAAAAATAATTATTATGGCAGCAGCAGCAAAAATACATTCTTTCAAAAATAAAGGCAATATTTTAACCACATACTACATTTTTTGCCATCTACTATATTTTTAGTGGTAACAGCTTCGCAAATAGGTACTATATTTGATAGACAAAAAGTTGGTAACTCTAGCCATCGATTCGCAAATCTACGGTGGAAGACTGTACTGAGCAGAACCGGCAAGAAACTCAGCAAGGGCTGTTTTTTTTTCTCCCTGCATTATATACAGAGTTAAATGTATCTATTTAATGTATGATTGCAAAGAGTAATATTGTTTAGTAATGATTGCCCCTTCATTGCCCTGCTGCCCAAGGAATTTACTTATATAGTGCGTAGTAAGTACCACCTACTTTCATATATAAATTATGTACTGTTAAATACCTTAAAGTGCTCATTTCGATTATAGGACAAAATACGCTTAGTATTTTTTCTTGTTCTCAACTAGCGGCCGCCCGCGACTTCGTCCGTCCGTGTTAAATTTAGTTTTTGTGGACTCCTTGAACGTCACATTTTTCCGGGATAAAAAAATCCTGTCTCATTCCAGGTGATAAACTTTAAGTCTACAAAATTTCATACAAATTCGTTCAGCCATTTTTGCATGATTGAGTAACAAACATACGAAGAGATCGTAGGCAAATATATTAGTTCATATCGTATTAGCTGCACTGGGCTACATCATCGCTTTCTCTTTCTATGAAGTTTTAAAAGCTTGATTTTGTGTTTAATGTTTTGACAAATAACATTATAAACATGTATAAAAAATTTCAGCCTTTACAAAATAAGGCTTATGTCCTGACATAAACTAGCAATGTCTACAGATTGAAAAAGTTAAGGAATACTAAAAGTAAGTAAGTAGTTGCCTTTTCATTCAGTATAGGAAACAAGCATACACTGTTCTAAAATTGAACAGGGGCGTCACTACCGCCGTATCT